GGCATTATCGCTGATAATCACAGATAGTTCCTGCCTGGCCCTACGTGGGAGGGGTTTCCTAAACAAGCAAACCTCCATTCGCCCTGCTGGTCTGGACAGTGTAGACCTGTCTCCGGCAGCACAGGGAAAGGATGGTGTTTGTTTTCAGAGTCTTCACTGTCCTGTCATTGCTTTCCCTTACAAACGTATTCTCCTCCACTGCCTACTTTTTTTGAACTTTATGCCTTCTGGAAAAGTAGTTTTGCATAATAGTTAGAAGAGAAAAAAAAAGGAAAAAGAAAAGAATTCTCAAGTGTCTTTGAAACCAGCGATGCAATTGATCATCAGCATCCCCTGGAACTTGTTATAAATGCAAATGATCAAGGCTCATCCCACCCTAAAGAATAAGAAGGTTTAGGGGTAGGACTTGGCAATGCTTGAACAGGGGCTCTAGGTGATATTTGGATGCACACTCAGGGTTGGGAATTGTTGAATTAGGCAGTCTTCAGTTTTACACACACACACACTCTCACTCACACACACCACCCCCTCCACCCCCCCACCCCCGTCTGACTTTTGGAGTTAGGTAGACCTGGGTTTAAAACCTTATTCCACCACATCCTAGAACCCTGAGCAAATGGCTGAACCTCCCTCGGCTTTTGTGGCCTCATCTATCTGTAAGGCGAGGATAAGGACAGTTCTTCCCTGGTAATTGTGAGGGTGCAGCTCCTGGGACGGCGGCACCCCTCAGCGAACACCCAGGCTTTCCTTCATGCTCTCCCCCTCCTGTCTCCAGCAGCATGGCCATCCCAGGCTCCTCTCTCCCCGTGGCTTTCTTGCCCAAGGCCCCGAACTCTGGAAGACTCTGGTCAGTGCTTCTGATGCCCCTTATTTTACTGAGTTAGCAGCAAGCAGCCTGTATTCTGTTACCTCAGCAGCCAGCAGTTACTGTCACACAGCAGAAGCTCCATAAATGTTCACTTACAGATGCACCAAGAGGGCTCGAAGCAGAATAGGAATTATGGGGAAGGCATTTGAATTCCAGTGACTACGTTTGCGCCCATCACCTCAGAGTACACTTCCTTCAAAAGAAAAGGCACGTCAAAAATAGTAGGATGGGCATGTATTTCTTCTTTCAAGAATCTGACATTGCAATGCATAAAGGACGTCAAAAGATACAAAGTTCTAGAAAAGAAATCAAGGACATGCAATGTACAGCATGGTGACTATAGTTAATACTCTATTGCATGTTTGAAAGTTGCTGAGCGAGTAGATCTTTTTTTTTTTTTTAAAGATTTTATTTATTTGACAGAGAGAGAGAGAGCACAAGCAGGGGGAGGAGTAGAGGGAAAGGGAGAAGCAGGCTCCCCACCGAGCAGGGAGCCCGATGCGGGACTCGATCCCGGGACTCCAGGATCATGACCTGAGCCGAAGGCAGCTGCTTAACCAGCTGAGCCACCCAGGCGCCCCGCGAGTAGATCTTAATAAGTCCTCATCACAAGAAAAATTGTAACAATGTATGGGGACAGATGTTAACAGGATTTATTGTGCTGATCTTTTGTAATATATACAAATACTGAATCATTATGTTGTATACCTGAAACTAATACAGTGTTACCTGTCAGTTATACCTCAATTTTAAATATTATTTTAAAAAAAAGAACTTGACATTGGGATAAAAGAATGGGGAATAAGGAGAAACTTCCTAGTATCTAAATCTAAATGTCATCAGTAAATTTTACCTACTTTGCAATCTACTAAATTTACTACATCAGGTTTCAACTCTTACTAACTTCCCCCATGGACTTATGTTCCAACTGTGTTGATGTCCTTGTATTTTCTCATACCGTTCCTTCTTTCATGTCTACAAGCCTTTGTAGACATGCCTCCCACCCTAGAAGGCTGCATGGTCACCCATGTGACAAATACCTAATCATCTTTTACTGTTGTTGGAGATTCAGTGCAAGCGGTACCTCCTATTTTCCCCAAGGAGATTTAAGCATTCCTTTCACCCAGGCTCCATCTGCACCCTCTGTGGACCATTGTAAACTTGTGGTTCCATATTATAACTGACCAGGTGTGCCTCTTGCCTCAGTGGATGGCAAATACGTAGCGTGTACCCACCGTGTTGCCAGAGACCCAGGAATCATTTGCTGAATTTACATGGTAACTAAAACCAACATTTCTTTAGCACTCCCATTTTCATCAAGTGGAGGATTTTGCCTCTGTCCCCGTCTCATCCCTCCTCAAGGAAGGGAGAGAGAGAGAGAGAGAGAGGAGTCAAGGAGGACTCTAGGATTTTTGGCTTGAGCATCTAGAAGTACGGAGGTGTCATAACATGAGCTGGAAGAGTCTGAACAGGTTTGGGGGGACAGATGGGGAATTTTGTTTTGGATGTGTTCGGTGCTTTATAAAATTCGATTTGCAGAAACCATTAACATTTTGAGCACATCGGGTTTTGCTTGGAGGGGCGTCCTTCAGAATCTTTGGAACACAACAGGACAACATGGTCAACAAGTGATAGGACAGAGTAATGCCTAGTATCGAGACTCTCCTTAAAAATCACATGCAGGCAACATGAGACCTTGGAGTCTCTGTGGTTATTTCTTTTTCCCTTAAATTATGACTCCAGTCTAGGGAATTATAGATAAGGAAAAGTTAGTTGAATATGTTGGGAAAAAAAAAAAAAGAGGGGAGAGCAAGCAAAAAAGTACAAACTCTTATTTCTGTTTACTTTGCAAGGGAGCTTTCTCAGAAGACTCTCATGGTCGTCAAAGCACGTAGTTGGCTATAATTACGTTTGACTTATGTCCTTCACCACAAAAGAAATAACATGTTCATACAGCCTGTCTGATTTCACTCTGGAATCCTGTGTTTTTGTGTTTTGCCTCATTTTCCCGGTCTTCTCCAGCTGCCCCTTCTCCTTCGCCCTGTGGCTTGGCATTGGCTGTGGAATCTGGGTCTCCTCTGCCTGGGTCTGCCCCAGGGTCATTTTCGGTGGCTGCCACATAGGCGAAGGGTGTGGGTTATGGCTGCTCGCTGGCTGTCAGGAGGGAAACAGTTTAATTCTGAAAGCCTTTCTAACTGTGGCTGTGTTTCATTGGTTGCCTCTCCTTTCTCCATTTTGATGTCGACTGTCTTTTTCCACATTAAGTTGTTCTCCCCAGGCCCAGGGTGATACATGGAGGAGAGCACACAGAGATGATGAAGCTGATTCACTTGTTGGCAGGCTGCCTCATGCTTTCTACTAATGTCAGTTGCAGGTCCACGTGTGTGGGAAACACTGTAATATTGTGTCTTAGGAGCTGTTTTGAGATTTGAAAATGGTATCATGGTATGTGTGGCACATGTCTGGGGCCACGGGTGGGTTATAGTCCCCAGCAGCATCCTGAATATCCTTCCATTCTCTTTTTTTTGGGGGGGCGGTGGGGGAGAACTTTATGGTTTACACAATCAGGCTCACTGCACATCTCTCTGGTTTCCCTGTATTTCCTCTTCTTGGTTCTGTGGAAAACTTTTTGTGAAATAACCCCTGAGCATGTTCTTGCCATATTGTGTCACCGTGAAAGCTACATTAACCGGAAGGCTTGGGGAATTGGGTGTCCGGTTAATGGAATTTTCGGGGCCACACCAAGTGACCACAAAAGTCATTTTGTTTCCTCCCTTGTTGTTAATATTTTCCTCCAAATTGTATGCGTTCACACGTCTATCCCAGTAAATAGAATATGGCAAACAAAATGGAATGATTTTGACATTTCATGATTTTGACATTCTCTTAATGACATAATTCTGAGTAGCAACTTCAGCTGTTTGAGCTGGAGGGAATCTGGTTCGGTCCCCTCGCTTTATAGATGGATAACAGAGGCCCAGATGTTGAGAGCTTTCCAACTTCCTTTAATGGCAAATCCAGGTCCAGAGAGCAGTGGTCGAGGACTCTGGCTGGAATCAGGCCAGTGTGAGTCCTGCCTTTGCCACTTACCAGCTGTGTGTGACTTGGTGGCTTTGAAAGTGTCAATAGCTTGCTCAGTCCCATCATCTAAATTAGTATATGTGGGGAATTAGCTTAGTGTCCAACACTAAATGGTGTTAGTAACAGTACTAGTTTCCTGTGACTGCTCTAACTTTCCATGAAATTGGTGACTTAATATACAAATTTATTTTTTTACAGTTCTGGAGGTAGACATCTGGAATGAGTCTCACTGGGCTAAGATCAAGTGTTGTCAGGGTTGTTTCCCTTCTGGAGGCTCCAGAAGAGAAGCCATTTTCTTGCCTTCTCCAGCTTCTAGAAGCCTCCTACGTTCCTTGGCTCATGGCCCCTTCCCCCATCTTCAAAGCAAAAACATCCCCCTTAGTCCTCCTCACACTGTCCTTTCTCTGGTTCTCTTCTGTCTTCCTCTGCCCTATTTAAGGCCCCTCATGATTATCTTGGGCCCATGTGGAAAATTAAGATAGTTTCCCCATCTCAAGGTCAACTGATGAACAACCTTAATTACGTCTGCAATTTTAATTCTCCTCTGCTATGTAACTGCACAAAGTTACAGGTGTCAGTGATTTGGATGTGGTCCTTTTTGGGAGGGGGGGCAGTATTCTGCCTACCACAGTCTAGCATGAGAGTTAAACTCTTTCATGGTGTGAGAATTGTCGAAATGCTTCAAAATTACTAAAGAGGAGGAAGGTGATGATGGTGATCATTCACACCATTTATCCTTGAGAACCAATGGAGAGGCAAGAGCTACTTTTATCACTGTTTGCACAGGGGAGAAAACTGCACATCGGTGACTTCTAGAACATGTCCGTCTATAGGGCGTGGAACCTGGGATTCTGGGGCAAGGATTTGAATCCGATGTGCTCGATTCCAATCTTGGCCTCTCCTGCTTCACTGGTGGTGGTGTTGGTGGTGATTATTACAAACCAGGTCTCTTAGTTTCAAGCCCAGTGGTCCTGAGATGAACTATTATTACCTCCCCATCAAAATACAATATTGTGTACAAAAGCTTTGGATATTTTCATTTTTATTCTAGCAACACCCTTACCAGCTGCTTCTTTCCTTTCAGGACATTTGCAAGTCTCTTTGGTGCCACCGAGTGGGTCACAGGTGTGAGACCAAGTTTATGCCTGCAGCGGAAGGGACCGTTTGTGGCTTGAGTATGGTAAACTGCATACGTGTTAGTTTTTAGTTCTGGAAATACGGTAACGCATAGAAACAAACCATCATACAAACTATTTGTACTGGGACCTTCAGAATGGAATGCCTTGGCCGCATACATTTTCTGACTTGTCTTTAAATCCACTAGCATTACGTAGCAGCTATTATAAAAACTCAATGCTAATATCACCCAGTTGGCTCCATTGTTTATGATGATTTTTTTTTCTGACTTTGGTTTCCATTTTTAGATGAAATATTTGAACAAGGTGGAAGGTTTCATTGTATACTGTTTGCCTTTTAAACTTGATTTAGTATAGAGAAGCTTCAGGGAGCAGATGTCCCCTTAGTAGCAAAGGAAGGACTGTCCCCCCATACAAGGCTTCTACTTCTCACCTCCCGGGACCCATCACTGAGTTTCTGACACGCTCAGGGGAGTCCCGTCACGTAGAGGGACTCCTGGCAAAGGGTAAGCTGGGTCACTGTCGGTTGTACCAGAAAGCCGGTAGCCGGCAAGTACGGTCAGTCCTCAGAACCATCTCCAATATGAGATATCTGTGTTTTGAATGAAGAACATTCATAGTTTCTGGGTTTTTTTTCTCCTTTCTTAGTAGCATCTGCAGGGAGAGAAGCACTTGATACAGCAGTATATGACCCAGATTTGGTGCATTCCTTTGGAAGATCATGATCAAGGGCTATGAAAGAGGGGAGCGTGGAGATGCTCCAGGATCTCTGATCTCTGCTTCTGGCTCTCCCGAGGCAGCATGAGCTGGTAGAGAAGACTCGGTCATTTAAAGTGAATTCAGTTGCACAATAACTTATTGACTGCTAGATATCAGAGACAGGAGACCCTGGGGATACAAGGATGAATAAAATTCAGTTTTATCTCTTCAAGAGCTCCCAGTCCAGTGGGGAAACCTGTGCAGAAGCCAATAACGTGGACTTTCTTTTTAAACAGACCTCCTTTAAGCCCTGAGTTGCTGTCGATGCTCGGGATTAGGTATGCACTTATTAGAATGAAGTACAGTGAGTGGGTACACCAAGGTGGATGTTGGAATGTGAATCCCATCCTCAGTTGGATGGGAGAGAGACTTTAAGTGAGAGATTAACGATAAAGGCAAAAATATAGGCACACAAAAATTAACAAGTGTTCAGAAAATGCTTACTAATATTGAGTCATTTATTCAAAGTCTTTTAAAATATTTTCATTTTTTAACTCTTTGATTTTAAAGAAAATAATTTTTTTTTTAAAAAGTTGAGGTACTATGTGCAACTTTCCTTCAGAAGTACCTGTCTTAGGAAATTCCACTAAGGATGCTCATTGAAAATGGGCATGGAATGTTTTAGGTGTGATGAGGCAAAATAGTGAAATAATTGAACATATAAGTACTGCTCAAGTCATTTTTATTTTTTAAAGATTGTATTTATTTATGAGGGAGCACGAGTTGGGGCGGAGGGGCAGAGGGAGAGGAACAAGCAGACTCCCTGCTGAGCAGGGAGCCTGACTAGGGACTCTATCCCAGGACCCCGGGATCATGACCTGAGCCGAAGGCAGCCGCTCAACCGACTGAGCCACCCAGGCGCCCCGTCATTTTTATTTTTAGAGCATCAAAATTTAGGACTTGAAACTCGAGGATTAGTGGGTATTTTTTCATTATGAACGCAACAGCATTAAACATAAGAGGGATGTAGAAGAATAGATTGATCTAATAAGTAAGTGCCAAGTGGCATAGGGCTGAAGTTTTTATTACCTACCTACACCAGGGATGTAGTTCCATGGGCATGAAAATGCCCCTGGATTAGACTTTAGTTACTGTAACCTGAGACAAAGCGGTCCAGAAGTTAGAAAACAGATGTCCTCATGCCACTCCCCCACCTCATTATTTTAAGAGACCAGGCTGCAGTTTTAAATACTGGGGGAATGCCCCTGAATGAATGGGGGAAGGCCTCCCCCTCAGCAGAAAACGTTCAGATGAGTTCCGTCCGTCATCACTCCGGTTTAATTATTACTGCATCCACGTGCAAGGTTCTCGGACTCTTCCTCCTCTAGGGGATGGAACCAGCTCTTCATTAGACTATATACTCCGTGAGGCCAGGACCATGCCTTATGCTTTATATCAAGTGTCCTACAGCGTAGCGACTACTCTGTGTTTTGTTCCTTTGTAACTGGAGCCTAGCTGAATTCTTCCCCATATCTTTCTAGTCCCTGGTCATTCAGTGATATTTGGACCGTGAATGTTCAGTAAACGTGAGGATGTGAAAAAGCACATACGTTTATCTTGTTACATGTGCAAGAAAAGAAAGGCTTGTGTTTTCTGTCGGTCATAAAAGGTGTCTGCCCAGTTACGGCCACTCAGTTTGAAATTAGAAGAAATGCCTATCTGTATACGTATGAATAGATACAATTTTATATGTAGAATTTTATAAGTGTATTATGCACGTGTGTGTGAATCACACACACATATATATATAATATGTATATTATGAGCAAGTTCTGCGTGACTTAGAATAACTTCACACTTTCCTACAAGCCTCTGCAGTGAGATCCAAAGAGGATGTGTGTGTGTGTGTGTGTGTGTGTGCATTCATGTATTTACTTCTGATTTCTATACTGAATGAAAAAGCCAGAGGAGACAATCTTCTGGCAACCTAAGCCAATACTAGGATGAATCCTGAAATAAAAGAAAGTTAAATTAATTGAAGGTTTGGAACAGATCTAAAAACCATATTTCTTAAAAAAAAGAAAGAAATTCAGGTTAAGACCTATGCGGGGGGCGGGGGGCGCATTTGCCTCTGAGGCGAGAAGGATACATATCCTGTTGAGGGGCTTTGGTGACTGAGTTGAAATTGAGCCTCAGCTGTACCTATGTGGCTGCTTTGGGTAGCTGTGTTAGTATTTCTTTGCTGAATTTCTCTCATCCAGAAAATAGTTACTAACTCCTTAGCGCTTTGGGAGGATTACGTTAGGAAGTGCACGGGAAGTCCTCCCGCTCCCCCTGCCTGCACTGTTTCTGGCACCTAGGAGCAACTTCATGAAGTGCAGCCCCTGCTGTTGCTGTTGGCTCTTACCTTGTGTCCGCCACTGAGCTCAGCCAGGACAGTCCCGGGGACTCCTGGTTGGGAAGATTCTGATTGCTGCTCCCAGTGGCCCAGATCCTCTAATGACCAATTGCTTTCCCCCTAAAAGGGCTCAATGGTGTTACAGGAGTTCATGCAAACTCTGAAATGGCACTTAATCCAGGGAAAAGACAAATGAAAAACACAAGAAGTAATCCGCACACGGCAAGAATTTGAAGAAAGGAAGCAATATCTTGAACTGGGCAAAGTTCACTCGCCACACAATAAACAGCCAAGGAGCCAAATGTATCCCAGGGGGAAAGCGAAGATTTGAAAGTCAAACCACCTCCCCCTAATTCTGTAACTGAAGCCCCATTCCTCGGCAGAACCTGGCATGCATGGTCCAAACCCCAGTCCATTGGATCTCACTGTGGAGGCTTTTAGGAAAGTGTGCAGTTACGCTAAGTCATGCAGAACTTGCTCATAATAAAAGCACCACAGGAATAAAACCACTACCAGAGGCTAATGCAAGCCCCAAGGACAGAGATGACCAGCAAAGCCTGGAATGTATTGCAAAAGAAAACAAATGGAGAGGTTAGCCCAGAAAACCGTTCTCGTCCTGGCTCGATCAGAGCACTAGCAAATGAAAGACCCAGAGCTAATTCCTAAAAGACACTCGGAGAGCTCAAAGTCATCCGAGGGTCTGGAGCAGGGACCTTTCATACAGACAAAAAGGTCAAAGGGTGTTATCTACAAGCACAGTTGGCCTGGACTGAGAACTATTGGGCTTCATAAGAAGTGCTCCGTAGGGATGGTTTGGGATAAACAAAAATGTCTGCATAATTGTATCTGTTTTTATGATAAGATCATCAGAATGATAAATTCGTGTTCATACCTAAAAAAAAAACCCGGTTCTCCCTGAGTGAATGATCCACATTGTTCTCAAAGCAGCCTTGTTTCTAGATTTCGGGGGAGGCTCCGTTGTCCTTGTGCTTGCACTGAGTCCCTTGGCTGTTGGGTGGAATCTTACCTGAACATTTCACCTCGACAGCTCACAAAGCATACGATCCTCGCCTGCTGGTGACAGATGCCCCCTCCCTAGATGTCAGCCTTTCAAAATGCACACAGTAGATGCAGAGCAACCTGGTGTCGGTAAAGTGCAGATGGCCAAGGAACCTGTCAAGGTGTCCTGCGTTCTCCCATTTGCCGACGCGCTCGTTTTTCCGTTAACGCGCAGGTGTCTGCCTCTCCTTCCCGTCCCCGCATGGACTCTGACAGGAAACGTGTCACACCTTCTTTTTATAGTGGTGTCGGCAAGGCCAGTGTGTGAAGTTTGGGGAGCACGGCCCCCGGCCCGTCCACGGCCAGTGGTCCGCCTGGTCCAAGTGGTCAGAGTGTTCGCGAACCTGTGGTGGTGGAGTAAAGTATCAAGAGAGACACTGCAATAACCCCAAGTAAGGCTCCAAAGAAAGTCCGTATTCGTAAAAGGCAAGAATGTACGGTTTGGGTTTTGTTTGGCTTACGTACTGGTTTTTAAGTGCAGTTGCCTTCCCTCCAGTGAATCACAACCAAACTGGGGTTTTACGGTTTGCATATACAGACTACAGGCACTGGGCAGGGGGTGGGGGTGTGACGGTCAGAAACCCAAAAACAACAAAGGAGCTACTCTATGTATGTGTGACTAGGACGATCAGAGACTCAAGTGATAGCCCGAGCTCGTTTCCGAATCTAAATTTGAGCCACACGGTCACACAGTCAAATGCCTGTGTTGTGGAGCTGAGAAGCTTGGCCAGTGGAATGTGTGTGTGTGTGTGTGCGTGTGTGTGTGTGTGTGTGTGTTTCAAACTGATGAACTGGAGAAAGTATGCTAATTTTTGCCTTGCAGGAATGTACATCAACACGTGGTGACAGATCTGCCTGACTTTTCAAGAGAAACCAGAAATCCAAAAAAAATGTGTGTGAAATTTCCCGACTGTTCAGATACTGACAACAAATTCCGTTTGCTTTAAACAGAACGCAGTGAGGACTAATCACAGCATCTACAGATGGGAGACTGGCCTGTGGTCACCTGTGGGCACGCTCTGGCCCCGGGTGTACTGGGGTTCTGTGTTCTTTGAAAACGAAGGCGGTTTTATGTTCCTTTCCTCTGCTCTCATCCCCGTGTGCAACCCTCGGGAGATGCCCGCTCCCTGATTGGCACAGGGATGTGGAGAGAGCCCAGGGTTGAGAGCCAGATGGGACTGCAAATCCTGGGTCTGCCGCCTATTAATTATGTGACTTTGGGAAGTTCACTTGAACTCTGAGCTTGAATCTATATGTAAGGTTGAGACAGTAATGCCTCCTCTGAAGGTTTGGGGGGATGAGAAGGGGGTCTGTAGAATGCCCCCTACCAGGGAGCCTCCAGTGGGCATTCAACAAAAGGATCCGGGGTCCGTGTGGCTTTTATCACCTTCATCCTAAACTCGACCCGGAGTACAGGGTAGCAGAGGATGGGTCCTCCAAAACAAGGGGAGGGGGGAGGGAGGCCTTCCTGACGAAACTGGACTTTTGGAGAATGTGGTAGAGAAGAGCGTGAGGGGTCCTTGGAAGATAGGGATGTCACTTCACAGCACTGAGTGGTGGTATAGCGTGAAGGTCAAGACCACAGGCTCCTAAGCCCAGAACCCTACATAGGTTTGCCTCCCGGCCCTGCCTCTCTCCAGCTATGTAGCCACAGACAGCTTTCTCTCCCTGCTCTAGATTCCTCACTGGTAAAAAATGGACTAAGGAGAGTGCCTACATCAACTGAGTTAATGTTTGCAAAGCGCTTCTACAAAGTGCCTGGCATGTTACAAGCATCGCATAAATGTTTGGTAGATTAAGAATTAAAATAAATAAATGAAACTGGAGCAGAAGGAAAAATTTAAAAGGGGCCTGGCCTTTTATCTGAGTCAGCAGCCTGAGCTGGATCAAGAGGCCAGTTTGTTCCCAACTAGGAGAGGGTCAGAAGACACTTTGACCATGGTTTGCTACGTGCTCTTTGGGATCTCAGGCTAACAGTATTCTTCAACTTTGACACTGTTGACATTTTGGGCTGGAAAATTTTTGTTAGGGGGTTTGTCCAGGACATGGCAGGATGTTTACCAGCAGCCCTGACCTCTCCCCACTAGATGCCAGTAGGATGGCGCTCCCTCCCCGACAGCCCCCTGATAACCAAAAATGTCCTGAGACTGTCACATGTCCTGTAGGGGGCAAAGCCATCCCCAGGTGAAACTCACTGGTTTATTCCGATCCAGTAACTAGGCGTGATGGTAGACAGGCTTGTGATGCATTTCCAGCTTATATCAGACTATTAAAACCACCCTCCTCGTACTTTGAATGTAGCCCATATCTTGGGTAGGATTCTTAAAATCATTATATTACTTTTCATTTTTTCAGCCTATTTCACAGATCTGGTTTTCATACATCACAACATTTTACAGCTCAGTATTTTCCCAAGAAAGAAATAGATTACCTAATTTAATAGCTCTGCTGGTAACATGCGTGAATGACACCCCTGAGATTTAAATTAAAACCTCTCTCATATCTGTGGGATTGAGAACTCTCATTATAATAGGGTATTGTTCATGGAAAGATCATATTGTAGTTTCAGAAATGCCTAATAAGAGAATGACTAATGTAGTTCCATTTGGTGCCGTTTTATCATTTCAAGATTAAGGCTCCTCGGGATACTGTTTACTTTAATTATGCCTCACAAATAAAACAAGTACATGAGCAGTTGTCCCAAGGCAATTGAATTAGTTGTTCTCTGTTCTTATTTCACTTTGTGGTAGTAAAACTGAGGTTACCCCCCCCATTTTAAATTACTGATTTCTTCTTTGCTTCAGTTCAAACATTTGGTGTGTTCACATTATTCCACCTAACCAGTTTCATTTTCTCATGTGAGAAGCAGTAGGAGCTTTTATTTCACATAATGATGGTTTTCCCAGAACATATTTTGTTTCATAAAAATGAACTATTCCTGGCTGATTTGTGGACTTACCCAACTTTTCAGCTTTAAAAGTGTTTGAAGGTTATCTGGTTCTGGAATCACTGGTACCACACACATATGGCCCTTCTTTTTCCCATGTCTAGGGTAGACATTTTTATTTTTATTTATTTATTTTGAGAGAGAGAGAGAGCATGTGAGTGGGGGGAGGGACAGGTGGAGAGGGAGAACCTCTCAAGCAGGCTCCATGCTGAGCGCAGAGCCCGATGTGGGGCTCGATCTCACAACCCTGAGATCATGACCTGAGCCAAAACCAGGAGTCCAACGCTTAACCAGCTGAGCCATCCAGGCACCCCTGAGGTGGACATTTTTAATGGAAAGAAGCTCTGTTTTCTACTGAGCCTTACTATGCCGCAGGAACCTCGAAACATTTCTTCAGGCCTTCCCTCCCAATCTACCTAGAACAGATGCATGAGTTGCAACCTGTTGTCTGATCCAGTTATTTGATGAATGAGTAACCAGGGCAGGCGGAGGGTCCCAGAGCAGCAATCTTCGCCCGGGTCACCAAGCTGGTAGTGGTAGGGTCAGACCAGGAGCCCACACTTTTAATCCTCTGACATTCCTTCTGGTTCCATGACTATTCAATTATTACAGTCTAAAGGAGCCTAGTGGAATTTCTGTAAAGTCTGTTCAAAAAAATCGCAAAAATTTAGGTAGTGAAAATGAAACATGCAAAGGCATTCTAGAACTTTTCTAAACTGCAAGTCTATTTGAGAAAAAAATAATATGCCTCTAGAGTCATAGCTCTAGAATAATAATTGAATTAAATCTCTGTCCCACTTTTCAACCAGTAATTTCCAGGCTCAGGTGATTATCAAAATCACCAAGTATGCTTAAAAAAAACCCACTGATTTCTGGATCTTCCCATCATACATTCTTATTGAGAAATCTGGAGGGACCCTGGAGTCAGTCCATCTGTCTGTGTGGCTATCTTTTTTTTAACAGAGCTCCCCCACTGGTTCTGTTGATCAGCTAGCCAATGTTGTGACCATCTGTAGCCAGGACATGATAAATTATGCAGAAGTAAAAATGAGGATCCTTTATAATGGTCTAATATAAGGACAAAATCATGTTCCCAGACATTTGTTTTCTGACTGTTTATATTTTTGTTTTAATCTTGTTACACCAAAAGATGTCATGGTAGAATTTTCTGTCAATTTATCCTCACACTTTTGTTTACAGCTGCAGAAGAATGTACCTGTATTTGAGGATTTGATGGAAAAGTACAAATTCTTGCCAGTCATTAATCTGTGTTAACTCTGTCCTAGACTCAACCCTAAATTCTTTTTTTTTTTTTGAAGATCATATCTCATTTATTTTGTGACCTTTGTTTTTTTATCATTTTATTTTATTTTTTTCATGATGATAAATGTACTCTTTAATCCCCATCCTCTATGTCCCCCATCCCCCCACCCACCTCCCCCCCTGGTAACTATCAGTTTGTTCTCTAGAGTTAAGAGTCTGTTTCTCGGTTTGTCTCTCTCTCTTTTTCCCCTGTGATTGTTTGTTGTATTTAATTCCACGTATGAGTGAGATCATATTTCTCTGTATTTCCCTGACTGACTCATTTCCTTAGCACAGTACCCTCTAGCTCCATCCACGTCATTGCAAATGGCAAGATTTCATTCTTTCTGATGGCTGAATAATATTCCATTGTGTACATATACCATCTCTTTATCCATTCACCTACTGATGGCCACATGGACTGCTTCCGTACTTTGTCAGCCCTAAATTCTTTACCAACATCACACTGTTAATCATCACAACTGCCCCCATTTTACAGGTTAGGAGGTTAAACCAGTTGCCTAAAGATAAGCTGGGAAGAGGCAGAGAATATTTAAATCCAGAGCAGCCTCATTATAAAAGGCCAGCTCCCTAACCATGGTACCTGACTGTCTTCCTCTTTCCTGCCGGCCCCTGCTGCCTAACTCAGCTGAATGCAGGCAGAGTGGCTCAGGGAAGGGATCCCGGGGAGTCAAAGGTAGGGGGCTTAGCTGTGCCCTGTCTCTTGCTGGCTATGGGATCTTCACTTGGCAAGTTTTATGAGCTTTCTCATCCGTCTTTCACCTCGTCTACAAAATGAGGGGGTGCTATGGAAGTTTCGAGATCTTTTCCGTGTTACGGTTTCCGAGTTGAAAAAGTTAACACATATGGTCCTCTTTCGCTTTATCGAATCTGAGGAGTCTAAATGAAGGCTATTTGTAGAATCGCAGACAGAATGTCTTCAACTAAGAAAGTTTTAAAAATGCCTTGTAAAAATGACCGGGAATAGTAAAGCTATCGTAGGGCCCTTTAAGGTTTTTCTAAGCACTTTTCAGATAATGATTTAAGAAGTCTTCGGGGATTTAATCCAGCACAATGGCTGCTGAATGTTTAAGTAGTTGCTCCAGAGTGTTTTGAAATAGCAAAAAAATCTCATTCTGGTGTTGTGACCCTTCCCGTTTCTGTTGAATCCATCTTAGCTTGCAGTTGCACGAGGATTTGATAAAATATGCTGAAGCAAATCCAGGGGTGTTTTATAGCATTCTTGTGCTTCCTAAAGAGACAAGGAATTTTAATCACATAAATTTATTAACCTGGAGCCTTCTTTCATGTTACATGTTTGCATTGAGCCTTTGTGTGAGATGATCCGTAGTTGGGTTTTAGCCTTTGGAGAAAAGCACAAAAAAGTGAGCATGAGAAAAAGCAATTGCTTTGTGCCTGTAAGAAGCTGGATAAGCCGTTATTGGTCATTTTCGTTTTGGTTTATGCTCCTTTTTTGTTTATATTGCTTTCTGGTTTTTGCAGTCTACCTACCAAGAGCTTAAAGAGCTGGCCATTAGATCATAATTATTTATGTTCTAATGGGATTCCCTACTCTGGAAATCCATTTCCCATTGTGTTTGGCAGGAGAGGAGTAGGCCGCCTACAAAGTTAAAAAGTGATTATGCAGATGAAAACAAGGGCATTTTTGTTCACAGTTTAGGATCAACTAGAGTAAAATATACAACAGTCAGACAACAATCAGAACGTCGGCTCAGTGACTGACAGAGCCAGATGGGAGGACATGGCAAATGGGGCTTTCTGCTCTTTCTCTTCGGTGTCCTGACTTTCTACATAGCAGCAGGTGGATGACATACTGTAGGAAGCTGGGTGTGTTTAGAAATGGGAGGAGAGCTGGGGAGTAGGTTGGGTCCACATTTGAAGAGCTTTGTAGCACACAGACACACATCTGTCTACATTAATGAGAACATTTAGGTGCATTTACAAATTTCCCACAACAGGTAACATGAGGAGCATCAAGAATATGCTCTCATCATTCTTTAAGGAAGTAGCCAGAATGTAACACTGGGATCAGGGATGACAAGTCAGTTTTATCGAACATGGCAGTTCCAGTTGCTGAGCAGTGGTAATGCCTCCCCAAGGGCCATATTGGGAAAAGAAAGAAAAGAAAGAGCAAGTCCCTGATTGATGGGTTCTGCCTGCCATGGATACAAGGAGGGACATGGCATGTCGTATACTACATTATTTCCGTTCTTGTCACAGATCGCATACACTGCATGCCTTCTGATAATGTTCATCTTGATTGTCCCTCCTTACATTATTGCTTATGACTAATAATGAGCCCTCTGTCTGCTCACACTAAAGCTCTTTCATTTTATTTTTAGGCCTCAGTATGGTGGCAAGTTCTGTCCAGGTTCAAGCCGTATGTATCAGCTGTGCAATATTAACCCTTGTAATGAAAATAGCTTGGATTTCCGAGCCCAGCAGTGTGCAGAATATAACAGCAAACCTTTCCGTGGATGGTTCTACCAGTGGAAGCCCTATACCAAAGTGGAAGGTAATTTGGTCTCTCTAAACCTCCAACAAATATGACTCTTTGTGGACAGCAATGTGAACGAAATCGCTGCCTACATAAAAGAGTTTCGATGTTGAGGTCATCCTCTAGACCTGTCCTGACCCAGTTTTTCATTCACTTCCATAGGTTTTGTTTATTTTTCCATACTTTTTTTTTTTTCACAAGACAACCATTTGTCCCCCACATTTGTAAGCCAAAGGGTTCATGTGTTTGGAATGTACTTATGTTTCAGAACTTACCTTTGACATTTCAGCAATTAAGTCTCCCAGGGATGTTAATTGAAATTGGTATGAATTGTCCAAACCAAAAACCCATGAAACCATATATGCCCCATAGAGACACCATATTCAGCAATTGACGTGTTAGATGATTGCATGGGAAGGCCTCTTTGCAGGGTATTACACACACACACACACACAGAGCCATGAATTTCAAAATGTCTCCATACTGCGTTCCTAGTACTTACTATTACTTAAAGTTGTGGCTTGTATTTTACCTTTTAAATTGAATTGTTTTTATTTTACCAAAGTATCCAAACATTTATTTTAGTTATAATGTACACATTTAATGCGCTTTCTGTTACCTTCGCAGACTAAGCTGTCACCGTTCTGGTTGTTTGCCTTCTATTATTTCAGTTCCCTTGCTTTATCAAAACTCAGCCATCCTTGCTTGAGAAAGGATAACTGGGAGCCCCAAGGGCACACGGGTAGAATGGGAAGACCCTGATGTTAGTGGCAATTCGTGGGAAATAAGACTGAGGGTCGTAGCTGGGCAGAAGCTCAAAAAGAACCCGTGTTGTCAATGACCATAGAGAAGCCAGCGGAGTTAGAGACCGCACACGACGCCTAACAAGGGGGCTGACAGTGATAGTGCCGCTCTGCCCAGCCCCCGCCCAGCCGTCGCGGGAGCTCTGTATGGTTTCGGCTCATGACTGGTTGTCCAAAAGCACAGAGAGAGGCCGGCATGAAAATTCTGCAATTGCAGTGAGCCATCTATAAGTGTCTACTTGTACGTGTTTCTTTTTTTAAAATAGAAACTCAGCCCTTTATTGTTATTTCCAGTGTTTCAGACTGCACTAAGAGATAATAGGTGCAGGGTTTATTAATGAGTTTTAAACCATTTTTTTAAAAGTCATGCTTCATGGTACGCCTCTTTCTTGCTTTATGGAAAAAATGTGTGCTTGCAAAATTAGTTTGTCTTTCATTTCTCTTGGACTTCAGTGACAAAGCTGGGAATACATCCATTTAAAAAAAAAATTTCTCCAGTAGAATAATATAGAAACTTACCAAGAAAAAGAGAAAAGCCAGGTACCTGCAAAAATTCAGAGATAATAACTAGAAAAGGATTTAGATTTATTTGAAATCACTTCAAAGGACAGGATTTGTTCAAAGGCTAAGAACTTCTTAGCCATAGCCCCTTCTCAGGGAGGCCTCCCTCGCCAGCCTGCCCAGAATATCCTTCCTTCTTGTCATCCTCTCAATCCTTAACCTGCTTTGTTCTTCATAGCTCTTAGCCATGCATGAGTTTATATCATATAGTCGCTTATTCATTATCTTTCTCCCCATAAGAATTTATGTTCCGCGGGATGAAGCCTTTGTCCATTTTGAGCATGCTTGGACCTCCAGCATCTGAGAACAGCCCTTGGCACATATTTATAACTTTCGGAATGAATGAGTGAATAAATAAGCATCAACTGTCCATAATGGATGTGTTTCCCCTTTATGAGTGGCCAGCTCTCCATCGCTGGAGGCATTCTATCAGGAACTGAGCGATTATCTAGGAAGGGCACTGCACGAACATGTTCCTGGGGACAGATAGATAGAACACCTGCAGTTGCTTTCAAGTCCAGCATTTGAAGGTTTCTTTTCTCTTGGTTGAACACTCCTGTCATTCCGTGATTCTTAATGTATGGCCCTTTCCCCCAGACCCTGCTGTCCTTCCTTTCTCACTTCCCCTTCTGTTCCTTGCTTTGTCGTCTTAGATATTCCTTGGTCTTTCCCACATCGTGTCTTTCATTCATACACAGTGTTTACAGAGTGTGTGTTGTGATCACCCTTTAAATAGGTTCTGTGTTGAGTACATGAGGAGACAGTGAAGCAAATAAATTTTGTAACTTGTGAAATATATTTTGGTTTCAAAAGTTTTTCACTAATTGCAGCCTTACTGAGTAAGGAGCATGCTACTTCATTCATTTGCTCAATGGATGTTTACTGAGCATTTCTTGCGTGGGCACCATTCTGCTAGATGCAGGGGGAGCTACACTGAGTAGAACAGAGACCCAGCCTGGGGAGCCCCCATCCTAGCATAGGAGACAGAAAAATTAAGGCCTTTTGTCTCTCCCTCTTCTCCTTCTGATACATACTTAGAATCAGGAAACACTGACCACGATTTGAAGGTGTGGTGACATTCACGCAGGTTGGGAAAGAACAAGGGAAGACTATTTGTAAATGTAGGCAGTCTTTGTCTTACAGTAGTGAGATTTTTTTTCCCCCCCTTCTGTGTTTCCAATAGACCAGTTGAGAAACTTGCCCTGGAGCCTCTGTGGGTAAAACTGAACCTTTTAGAACTTGTTTATTCCTGGGCATGACTGAGAAAAGAAAGGGTATAGATATGTCTTCCATAACCTCCGATGCAAAATTTGGGAGGTGTTTAATAAAGCTATTGAAAGAGATTTCTAGGTAAAGGAGAAACTTTTAATCCATCAGCACATCACATGATCCACATATTTGGATCATGATAAGCTAAGTACTTTCACATTTAAGTTTTGACTATCTTTTATTAAGAGGTTTTATGAAGCACAGCGATTTGCAAACTGTTTACACGTTTGTTGTACAACTGTAGTCAGGGCTGATGTATGGTGTCGCCCACGCAGGGCTCCCGTGAGAAATGTCATCTGGAGCTACTGGCCAAGAAGAATGCTTTGTATTTGGGAAATTGGCATAGCTCCCTTCTGATAACAAGAGCTCTGTAGAAATACAGTATTTTTTTTTTCTTTTTGCCTGTGATACCAGAAACTTCTCAGGGACTTTATGGTCAATAAAAGCTGCATTTTTTAGCCTTTAGGTTTAGTTTGTTTCCTCTTCCTTTTCCTGACGTGATTATTCTCTATATGTTTTATAAACATGAACCATATGCCCCTCTTTTTTTCCCCAAAGTGCCTAAAACGTTTTCTCTTAACTACCCGAATAAATATCTAAAGTAATCCATGTCCTCAATCATGGTCAGCAAACTACACCCTGTGGGCCAAATCTGACCAGTTTTGGTTTGTTTGTTTGTTTGTTTGTTTTCGTAAATAAAGTCTTACTGGAACACGGAAACGCTCCTTCATTTACATATTGTCAATAGCAGACCATAAGCCCTGTAAAGCCTAAAATACTTGCTAACCAAGGAGAGTAGCTGTATAACCCACCGATCATGTGTACTGTGGCTATTACTAAGGATTAGAAAAATGAAATTTTTGTGTTATAGCAGTTTTATTTGAATTGCAAACGAGATTCCTGTTTTTAAAAGCACATATATATGCATTCATGCATGCACACCCACACCCACATGCAAAACTGTGTAACATTTCCCATTTTAGTCATGATAGCTTTCTAAATAAACTTAATTCATCCTTCTGGCCATCATGTCATTTTCCTGTGATTTCCTCCTGATCACGTCCTGTCTTGATCTCTTTGCTTCTAGAGGCAGATCGATGTAAACTATACTGCAAGGCTGAGAACTTTGAATTTTTTTTCGCCATGTCCAGCAAGGTGAAAGACGGGACTCCTTGCTCCCCAGACAAACACGACGTGTGTATTGATGGGATTTGTGAAGTAAGAGGACATTTCTGCTTTGGGATGTGTGGTCATGCTGGTGTTTCCTCCTATCAAACGTGTACCGTGAGAAGTGGTACAAGAGATTCTGTGTCTGGAGAGAACGCAGCTTAGGGGAAAAGGCCAGTGTTTGCAAGTTGGATGTGCAGACTGTCTCTAACATCCCCACTGATGTTCTGCAAGACCCCTCCGACCTCCTTATTAGCTCTTCTTCACCCGTCTCCACGAGTATGCAATGGAGATGATGTATCTACTACACGCAGTAGCTGCAAAAATTAAATAAGAATGTAAAGAATAGTAGTAAACCTCCATTGCATATTTGCTAAGTATGTTCACTCTATGGTCAGAGCCTCAGAGGTGTGTTTTGACATAGCACTCCTGTTTCCTGCCGATTAGTCTTCCTTTTAATTCCATTGTGTGGGGGGCTCAGCATTTTTCTGTTTCATCAGGAGAGCTGGCCCAAGGAAGCTCACCTGCCATGAGTAGCAGCAGTGACTTTTTATTCCAGTTTTCCAGAGGAAGAGTCTCAGCAAGCTTTGGATGAGTTCTGTAACTGCCCTAGTCCCGCATCTGGTAAAGGCAGAGGAGGGATTTGAACCCCCAAACATGAGACTCTGCCTTTAACCCTAACGCTGTACTGTCTTCCCGATGTTCTGAAGATAGAGCCCCATGTATCTCTTGGTTATTCGTAGCCGTTGGCTTTTCTGATTTTTCTCACTTTATTGTTGTTATTTTTTTATTTTGGTCACAGCCAGTGGGATGCGATCATGAACTTGGCTCTAAAGCAGTTTTGGATGCGTGTGGTGTTTGCAAAGGGGATAATTCGACTTGCAAGTTTTATAAAGGCCTATACCTCAACCAGCATAAAGCCAACGGTAAGAGATCCCTGCTGTTTCATTGCAGTGACTTTGCTGCTGACAAGTTTCTGTCAAGCTGGCCGTGATCGAGCCGTTTACCAGCTTGCCTGACACGCACAGAATGATGGCTTTGACACCTTGCAAGAACAAGGGAGGATGGGCGGTTTCTCAGCGTGAGGAGTTCCGTCAACACATACAGCTCCGAGATGTGTCTGTCAAATGCCTTTTTACTTTGCAGTTTGTCCTCTGTCCCACGGGCCTTTGTTAAACAAAGATCAGATTTTGAAGCTTACGGTTCAGGATGTGAATCGTGATCCACACTCACGACGCCAGATGAATATTGGGAGCAATTATCTAAACGAATCTTGAGTAAAATGAAACCCAGAGCCCCGTTTCCTGAATATCACTATTGAGGTCCATGGCTCTAAGTTTCTTCCAAGTGGATTAAAGATTTAAAAGCGTTATTGAGTTTCGTGGCCTTGGTTATTCTGGAAGGAAGAAGAGTGTCCCTCCTGTCCACAACATGTGCTTGGGAGAGGAACACACACTTTCTCTCTGGTGTTCCTTCCACTGGGAAAATGAAATAATTGATCATTTATTTGCACTTCATAGAGTAGGAATGAATGTCCGTTCATGATTCAACAACCCCACTGTATGAAAGTGGACATCACTGTGTCTCTGAGCATTGTTAGCTCCATTTCTTCAGTGTGCAACATGGAAAACAGCACTGTTCTATTCTTTCTGTTTAGAATATTATCCAGTAGTCACCATTCCAGCGGGGGCCCGAAGCATCGAGATCCAGGAGCTGCAGCTCTCCTCCAGTTACCTTGCGGTCAGAAGCCTGGAGCAGAAGTATTACCTCACGGGGGGCTGGAGCATCGACTGGCCTGGGGAGTTCCCCTTTGCTGGGACTGTGTTTGAATACCAGCGGTCCTTCAACCACCCAGAACGGCTGTATGCACCAGGACCCACCAACGAGACACTGGTCTTTGAAGTAAGCCCCTTCTGTTTGTTTAGTGCTCGGTGCCTCTTGCTGTATTTATAGTGAGCTAGCTTGGAGAACTCCTCTCCTTCTAGTGCAGATTTGTTTCCTAATAAGCTAAATTGCAAAGTGCATAGAGGAAGAGACAGGCTCTCCATTTTGGGGAAGAGGGCAAGAGTCCAGTGGGTCTCTAAGAGAATGCACAGATTTTCAAATTTAGATGCCAGCCTCTCAGCATTGCCCTTGGCTGCCCTTGACTGCCTTGAATGCTAAGGAGTATAGTAGGAGTATTTTAGATAATTCCGTATTGTCTGCTTCTGCCATTTGGATAGACCACTGTAGCTCTTCACCACATCGGTCACCCAGCCTGGGACCAGTAGACTGATAGAGTAGAAAGAACACTTGCTTGAATGCCGAGAGCGTTTTAATCAGAGCAAACGACCTTCCCTGTGTAGGTTGTTGTTTCCTTAGAGGTAAGAGAAGAAAAATTAATGGATCGTAATCAGCCACCATATCTGCAGATGACTCTGCAGACAAGTATCGCGCGTTCATTTTCCTTGTCCGTGTCGTGTCTCTGAGGTTGTTTTCTCTGTTTGCAAAGCGGGGCTGATCGCTGCTTTTAGAGGCAATCGATTTGCTTCAGGTTGCGTAGAAGCCATGCTGGCTACCACTTGCTAAGGGCTGAGATTACCAGACACCCAAGGTCGTCTTCCTGAGTTTCAGTTTCTCACCTACAAAATTGGTATAGAAAACCTACCTTGCTGACCTGCGAGAAAAATAAGCAATGAAGTGGGGAGACAGGTGAAGAGGCTTGTCTAACTCACACAGTTAGGGAAAAAGCAGAACTGAACTGGAGTCTGAATGGTTTCCATCTACAAGTATTTATTTATTTACTTTTTTAGAGAGAGCATGAGGAAGGGGGAGGGTCAAAGGGAGAAGGAGAGAGTCTCAAGCAGACTCCATGCTGAGTGCAGAGCCTGATGCAGGGCTCAATCCCATGACCCTGAGATCACTTTCATTAAACCTAACACACAGAAATGGAATTCTGATCAAGATTTCTGGATATTTTTTCAAAAAAAATTTTTTTAAATGTTCTTTTTCTTTTCTATCATGCATCTGAGCTGGAAACATCTTTTCCTTCTCTTTAGGAAAGTTATATTTTCTCTTGAGAGGTGTATTTAGCTTGCAAGGTATCAGATTTAGAGCAACAACGCTTCATTACTTTTGCCAAGAGGCCTTTGATCCATCTCTGAGCAAATGTACACAAACCAAGGTCTGGGGCTGCAAAACAGCCTAAGTCAGGAAACGGGGCGAGGTACCTCTCACAGTGTCTGCTACGGGTGATCAGAACAAAGTGCAAATCCTTCCCGGGGAGAAAGACGTGTTTGACTACTTCATGACAAGCAACCATTTTTTGGTCATTGTTTCTCTAGTCTTGCTCCTAAACACAAAGCTTCTCTAGTGGGTTTTTACAATTCTGCCTGTAATTTAAGGTTTGCCATTAAACATATATTATCTGCAGGAAAACCACAACAAAGATTAAGACAAGAAATGATGGAATGAACAAAGCAGAATAATAGAGTTCCCTCTTGCTTTGATCTTTGGGACCTGAAATATCCCCTGGCATTGTCTGAGTTGATCACATTAACCAGATAATTGACACATTGTCACCGAACATTATACCAGCCTGGAGCTAAGAATTTTTATTTATCCTTTGCTTAATTTAAACATAACTCCTTATCTCATTCATCCATATTATGTAGCTCGGACTGACCCTAAATCTTTGGAGTGTTCACCAGGTCCTCAATTTTTCCTGATGGAGCTATTTTTGAGAAATGGAAGGAGGACCTCAATTGGTGATCGAGTTCTCCAAAAGTGGCCAGGTCCACCACCTGTCTCCTTGCAAATACAGACACTGCCTTGAAAATAGGTCAAAATGCAAGGAGAAATATTGGCTAGCTCTAAATAAAATTATAAAAACATGACGTCTTCCCTAGGTTCAACCAGACAGGTATTTTTTAAAATAATTTCTTACTATTACATGAAGAGAATAAGAACTATAATAATATCTATTAATACAGGATCGTAGTTTTGTCACAATAGATTAAGGTCACATTTGTGTAGCTGTTGTTGTACAGAATCCTATTTTATGGACTCATTCTACTTACAGATTGAACGAAAGCTTAAATTAACATCTTAGGAATGTGACCTGTCTGAAAACAATCTAGAGGGAAACTTGTATGATTAATTGGACATGCCTTGCTTGTATTTTTAAAGGAGTTATGGTTTCATTCAAAAGTTGCAGCTATGTTAGGAGCTGAAAAAAAAAAGAAAACTCTAGTAACCTAGTATTATGTCTGTTTTATCTTTTAAAAGACTTTGGGTTAATAACTTTAATATTTAAATTATACCTTATTGCTCTTGGGGACATCATCAAATATCACATGTTCATACCTTTCCAAACTCAGTGGAACACAGTGATTTTTAAAACTTAAAATCACAGTAAGCAATAACATACATTTTCCAAAATGAAACTACATATCAGTATCCAAGTAATCCACGGCTAGATTCTTTAAAGGAAGTTAAATAAAGTTCACGTGCCTTTCCATACAGCTATGGATTGAACCAAAATGAATACTTTGGGAGCCAAAAATATGTTCACTCCAATATAAAAATGTTGAATGTGTTTTAACAGCCCTGTGGGATGCTGGAATCAAAGTGTGGGAACCTACCAGAATGAAAAATGCTATTCCATCCCCAGAAAGTATAAGTCTCTGAAAGAAATCACTTTCTCTCTTGGCCTCTTGAAATTACTGAATGTTCACTAAGTTCTTACTGTAGTGCAGAAGGGTATGTTTGCCAGAATACATGGGGATGGCATTGGGGGGGATAATGTTTCTCTCCTTCATACGTATTAATCAGATCCTCCCAATATCTTAGCTAGCTCCCATCTTCAACCACCGTGGTATGTATTGACCTAGGTACCTACCTTCAAAGCAGTTTTCGTCTCTTCACTTCCATGCCTGATAAAAAGAAAATTAAGCAAACATTCATTGGGTGCCCATTCTCTGCCCAGTCCTGTCTGAGGCATTGGAGATGCACAAATGGTTACGACATAAATGATTTTGCCAAAACATTGTAGTCTGTAAAGAGTGAGTGTTGTATGTGTGGAAGCAACATGGATTAGAACAGAGAACATCTATATATAAATAGTTGGCTCTGTTCTTCCCTATGTCACTTTGCATGAGTCACTTCAACTCTCTGGGTCCCAATCTTCTCATTTGAGAAATGAGGCTAAGCTCATGTCTTGCATTATATCCTGTGGCAGTGTCCTGAGGTGCCTTTATATCATCCCAATCCCCATAATAGCAGAAAGAAGACTTGCTCATCTTTGTAGCCTCCAAAACCGGCATGATATCTGGGACATTGTAGATGCCCCCAAAATGTTTATTGAATGAGTGACATCCATTGATAAAAAGTACTCATTCACTTAAAGAGTAGAACCTTCTTTCCAAATGGAGAAGTCATACAAGCAGGTGATGAATAAAACAAATGACCAGATGGTGGCTATACTTGGGTAGGGGGGGAGCACAGCATAATGAATAAATTTGTTCAATCGTTATGTTGTACACCTGAAACAAATATAACATTGTGTGTCAACTATACTCAAATAATAAGAAAGCATATGAAAGGAGAGCTTCTGACCAAAGTCAGGAGTAACAGGCCGAGAGGCCAGCCTTCTCCTTCCAGCCGCACCCCCCACCCCCAACTTCCAGCCCCTTCTGTCCCATACCGCCGTCGTAATCCGAAGTTCTCTGAAGAGGTCTGAACTTCTGCAGTACGCATTGTAAAAACCACTGGATTTCATCATCTCTTAGGACTAGTCTTAAAACTGTACAGTTTCAGGTAGATTGACCAGCACTTAAAGGATTGAAATTTGATCTCCTAAATTACATTTGAGGAATCAGTATGTAGGCAAATGCTTGACTTTCGCAGAGTGAATGATTTGCACATAAGAAGTTGCTGACCAGTTAGTTCACAGCAGATTTAGCTTAATTTAGGAGAGTAGCAACTTGCCCTCTCAGGGTGGTGGATTTATCAGATCTTTTCAGTTTTTTTCTGGGTGTAGCCTAGTGCAAGGCAAGGGTTATGCAATCCTGGGAGTAATTGACTGCTGTCAGTTAATCCCAAGAAATAAGCACATGGCCTGACACCAAAAAGAAGTGTCTTCTGCATCTGGTTCTTTTCACATGTCGAAACCTTCTAGAATGTCTTCATAGGGAAGCTCAACTTAAACTAAATGGAAAACAGACCTTCACTTCTATCACTGAGTCACCCAGTTTAAAATGCAGTCTCTGTTACAAACATTCATTCTCCCTGGAACCTTGACTCAACATGTTTCCACATTTGCAACAGGTGGATGTCAGTTTAAACAGAGCTGGCCCCATTGATTTCCTCGGTGGCCAAGGGAAATTCCTAAGGGTAATCAAGGATTTATATGATTGTCTTAGGTCTTAAATTTTTAAGGCATTATTTAAGTCCATCAATCAAGTTTTTATTTTGAAGTATATTCATACATATACATGTAAATGACTTGAAGAAAAGGAGCTAATTTTCAGGAAATGAAATTTCCAGAAATTAAATTTCTGCATTCTTCAGGGAAAAACCCTTTGTATATACACACACACACACACACACACGTACCCCAGCAAAAAAGAAATCAATATTGATTTGGCAATCATCTGCTTTCTGAGATCACTACAGAGACAGTTATTATAAACTAGATAACTTCCACATATTTCTTCTATTCAACATATTCCCACAACGTAAGTCTGGCATAAAGTCTAAAGAATTTCTCATTGAACTAGTGCATTCATTAGTCATCTGAAGGACTGAAAAGTCAGCTTGTGTGTTAAGTCTTTAGGACATTATGTATGGACCGCACCATATTATGTTTGTTTTATTGGCTTTCGGAGCACGGGAAAAGCTAAATGTGTTACTTCTATACCCCA